GGGGGGGGGGGGTGTTACATTTCAAGGCTTCTGCACTTATCATAAATGTTTTGAATGGGCTGACAAACTTGACACAAGACTGTAATGTGTGAGGCAGGTTTACAAAGGTCTTAGCACTACATTGTTACTGGTAAATCTAAAGGTGGCCATACACTTTACAACCCTCGCAAGATTTGTGTCTTGCGAGGGTTGTAAAGACTTTAAGTCATTAAAAAAACGTACGATCTGCCCATCTTGGACAGGCAGCCATCTTGAAATAGCCAATAGCAATCTAGCTATTCATTCCTATGTTGTTTATTATTAGCAGCTGTCAGAATACTAAAAAAAAAACAAGCAGATAGCAAAGAAGCTATTGCTTCCCGTACTATCTGCCATAATTTTAGGAGGGCACCTCCCTGAAATGAGAAGGGCACCTCCCTGAAATTGCTTTTTCAATCCCTGAGATTGTACAAAGATTGTAATATAAATTGCCTGCATTACATGTAAAATCAGGATCCAGAGGAGTTCATTTTTACTAAGGGTAGTAAATGATGCTCAAGAGATTGATGTTACTACAGTAAGGATTTCCTGTATGACTATGTACTCCTTTGCAGGTGTTGCACACATTACCTTTTTTTTTTCTAGCAACTGGCAGCTTCTAAAACAAGTTATGTCTCTATGGCACGCATAATATGATCTTAGGTTAGCAAATACTGTATGTAGTATTAGGTTTATTTGTCAGATGTCCACCAGGTGGTGTTCTTGTGCAGATATTACATTGATTAAAGTGACATTAAAGGCAAAAAAAATGTTCCCTCCCCCCAATGTTATTGTTAGCACTTACCTTAAATGATGTCTCTTAATCCGATCTCCCTCTTCTTTCCTGATGTTTTCAGCCTTCTCTCCAGCGGTGCGGCGGCTCTCCGATCCAGCGGTGACTGCTCTGTCCCTCCGATCCAGCAGTGTCTGCTTGCGGGTGCACGCGTCCATAGACTTACCTTGCGTCCCTCGTCGCGTCCCTGCCAATAATGAGAACTGCACGCGCCCCAAGATCCTTTGCGGCCGCTCGAGAAATTTCTCATTTTCGCACGGGACCGCGCACGGAAACAGGGTAAGTCTAAACTGCTGTTTGAGCGTTTTTTTTTTTTACTTTTTGCATATATCTACTGCTTGCTAGCAGTAGATATATGCAAAAAAACGGGAGGGTTTAAATATTCTTTAAGCAGCGCACTACCCCAGGTATACTTGCAACTAGTGATGGCTTATGCTGAGTTAATATGTATGGATTTTTATTAAAGAGGACCCCCCTTCCTTAAGAAACTGCCCATACTAAACAAATGCATTTAAGCAACACAAAACTCAGGAGTTAAATCTTAAAAATGCATTCAAGTACCTTAACTATTAACAGAAATGTATCTTATTTGTGTATCACTCGGCTGTAGATCCTCCAATCATCTCTGAATTGGTGCTGACACTGTCCTTCCTTCTGGAGGGTGGCTACTTTTGTTCCCCATGGTCCCTGTGTGTGTTGTGAAGTACAACCTGAATAAAATGTACACATTGTACGCTGCCAATAAAGTAAAAAAAAAAATGTAAACAGTGGCAACTTTTGCCAAATATAATACAGCGCACACTTCCAGAGTTGCCACAACACACTGGTCTGTCTACAAAATTGCAGAGTTAGGGCTTGTTCACACCAAATCCGGACCAGATCTGCATGAGTTTCTGCATATGCAGTGCAGTGCGTTTTGACACATTTCTGCTGCGTTCCGGTCCGTTTTTTAACATTTTATTTATTTTGGGGGGGTTTTTGTAGCCTAAAATGGGCTTTCAGTGCGTTCCAGGGTGTTTGCGTGCATTTTTGTGCGTTGCAGAGCAGGAAAAATAGGGCATGCTGCAGTTTTTCCACATGCTCTTGAACTGAACGCTGTGGTGTGAACTAGAGCACAATATACCATTGGAATACATTTTTGATGCGTTCTGTAACTGCTCTGCATCTGCTCCACACTTGATGTGAACAAGCCCTTATAGCGGATGGGCTAGGTGTGAATGGGGACTTGTAAAAAATCACTACTGTTTTTAAAGTATGCTTTGTATGAAAGCTAGTTGATGCAAAAGAATATTAAGAACTCTGCCAATCATCACCCTATGTCTACTGATAGCCATAATGGATACCTGGAAGCTGGAAATATGGGCACTACCATTGGTGAATGATCTTTAAATGCGTAATCTGGTGCTGAAGAAAGGAGGTGCATACTGCTGTCCACCAATTACAAT